CCAGCTGACACTCAGAGGAAACTGAGAGAAACTAGGTGAAATGGAGGTGAGACTTTGGAGGCCCTGAGAGAGTCAATCACAATCAGTTAGCTAAGGAGGGTAGCAGCTCAAGATGCCAGTAGCAAGTGTTCCTCAAAGATGGAAACTGTAAGGCAATGTGATGGTGTTGGGTGGGGGTTGTGGAGCCATGGATTAAAATGTGTGGGGGGTCAAGGAGTAAGTATCAGAAAGAAGAAACCTGGTGTGGATTACAAATGTTTTAGAAGGAGGGAGGGGACCCTGAAGGGACTGGTGCCCATGAAAGTCTTAAGTCATACAAGTCAGTCAACAACAACATTGTCGATCTGTTGCCACAGGGAAGGTTGTTCACCTCTATCATGGTTTAATAAGGATCAGGATAAACAAATAGGACAAACAGATGTTTCTTCAGGGAGAAATAACTCACAACATAGTCAAATGAACACCAGCAGGTTCCATTGTATGCTCTCCTCTCCACCTCTAGCCAGCCAGAGAGCGCTCCTGGGCTCCTCTTCAGATATAGTTCCCAGGTCACTTCCTCCCCTGTCTCCACCCCCAATGGGCATGATCAGTGCCACAGATGCAGACAAGGTGAATATCTCACTACAATTCCCCTTTTAGTCTAAAGAAAAGATTTAGACTTGATACAAAACTATATACAACACAGTGAATAATAAGTGTGTTCGAAGAAAAGGAAAATCAAGAACATACAAACTTAATAACTACATAACTTTTCCTAGGGTGAAGGCTTAACGGAGTTTACAATAGAGTTGTCCTAAGCTTGAAAGCTTAAGCCTAGTACCTAATATAACTAACTAGGAAGAGAATAATAGTTGTCAGAGTTTATTGTCAACCTCATTAAGACCTGAGAAGGAAAATAACAATACTAGGGTAGGCAGGAAGTGAGGATGGGCAACTTCCAAAAGGATCAGCGAGGACAGAAACAATGCACTACCTGGAAAGTCACCCAAGGTCTCACAGCAATGTTGGCACAAGCAGTTTTGGCTAAGGCAAAGAGTACTTGACAGACCACAACAAAAGTAGGAAGGTGTAAATGCTGCCTTACCTGACTGGTCAGGGTTCAGCAGTCTTCTATGTTTGTCTCCTGCAAGCACATAGGACTGCACTTCCAAATCTGTGGTCAAGGTGGGGCAGTTCTTTGCCCAAAAGGCCATCAGCTGAAGCAAGGATAGACTCCAGAAGGAGCAACAACAGTGTCCAACATATTTTTGGGAAAATGCACGGTGCTGTCAGGAGCAATAGTGTCTCATGTCAATGAAGTACTAATATTAAAACATTTAAATGCCATGTTCTGCATGTCTATGAATTATTTAAAGATTAAGCATCTATGTCTGACTAATCTCATAGGTATAGGAAATATGGGTGAAGAAAATCTGTACCACTCAGGTATGGACTTGGGGATGTTCAGCTGGCTCCTATTGCAACCCCACAAAGATCATTCCTTACTGGCATCGGGAGGTGCTGGAAGTGTTCCTTCCCTCAGAGACCACGCTGAACCTTAAACAAGCCCTGAAGCTCCTAATTGATGGTGCTGATCAGAGCTTCAACTATAAGAAGGAAATACCCTTGTGAGAGTTTCCCATTCAGTTAAAAATAAGGCATTGTGGTCAGCATGACCTTCCAGCTGCCACATGAAAGCAAGACACCTCAGGATGAGCTGGACAGACTGTGACTTCCTCAGTACTTGCCTTGACCCTCGAGACTTCAACCTAGAACTCAAAAACCCAAGAAGGGGATGGGAGGAGGTCAAGAGACACAGGGGAGTTGACCACAAGATATGATTCTGATCAAGTGGAAAACTTTATTTTTCTACCTGGAGCTTCTATAGTGGACCGAGCAAGAATGTAGGAAAAATGGCAAGGAAGGTAAGTAGAATAGTTGAGGACCAAGTGTTCTTGCGAGCATAATATAGATAATCACAAAGAATGGATGTTGACATGGGTGGAAAGATCAGGAGATATGAGAACAAGAAAGGTTACTATGGTGATGGGGCTAGTGGTTATATGCTAGGTTGATCTTGTTAATTTGGGGTAGTTACTATATCATCAAACCTTCTTGGAATAACTGAAGGCTCTAAATGTACAGCCAAAAGAAAGCCAGAGTTCAGCCAAAGTTTGTTCCATAACTGAGCAAAGATCCAGCCTCAGTTCCAACAAGTACTGTTTCCTGACATACTGTCATGTGCCTACCCAGTAAGGCTTCCCTTCTCAGCATAACTCCCATGCTGACACAGTCTCTACTACACTGAATAAATGGAGATGTAAGCAGAAGTTTCTCAGTACAACCAAGCCTTGTTTGGAGTATTCCCATTTGGTAAATGTGCATGTTCATTGTGACGTGTAATCAGTCCCATCATCACAATATCAATAAAGGAATTCTTGCAAGGCATTTATTTGACATTTGAATAACTTGCCTTTCCTTTTCTTGTCTTGCTCTGCACATACCTTCCCTTGTTTTGCTGTCCACATTTCTTCAATTCCCTTCCCTTTTATTTTGATGTCTTTTTGTTCCTTGCCTTGTCTTTCCTTGCCTTTCATTGCATTACATTGTTGTGACATGTGCATGACTTGAAGTCACTTTCCTTTCTTTGCCTTGCCTCTCTTTGCTTTGCCATACCTTGACATCACATTCAAAGCCTTCGTGTTTACTTGCCTTGCCTTCCTATTCATATATCTTGACTTCATTTCCTGAAAAAATGCATGATTTTACTGCTTACTTTTCATGCTGTGAGCATGGACTACCATGCCCTGTCTTTTATTTCCTTTCCTTGGCATGATTTCCCTTCCTTGTTTCATTTCCCTTTCCTTTCCTTCCATTTCTTCCCTTCTATCCCCTTCCTTTTCCACTGCATACCCATTCACTGACTTTTGTTTCCATGCTATGCCTTGCATTGTGCCAGACTGTCCTTCTATTTTCTTCTGTGCCTTGCCTTGCCTGCCTTACACAGCCTTGTTATGACATCTGTATGATGTGCTCTGACTTTTCTTCCTTTCCCTTCCCTTGTTTGTTTTGCTGGCCTAACCATCATATGCAGTGACTTTGGCTTTACTTTCATTGTCTTTATATTCACATTCCTTGGCTTATATTTCCTTGCAAAAGGCATACTTTTCCCCCAAAGCTTTTCCTTGCTATGAACCTTTCCTTCTGTTTTCTTTCCTTCCCTTTTCCTCCCCTTCCTTACCTTCCCTTTGCTATCATGCCTTGCCTTTTATTTCCTTCCCCCCCCCTTTTCCTCCATCTCTTCTATTCCCTTTCCTTTCCTGTTCTTTCCATTATTTACTAGCCTCGCCTTGCTCTACCATGTACTTACATTGCTGGACACTGCTTCTTCTGTCGTTGCTTGCTAAATCATGTACTTGCTCTGCTTTGTCTTGACTTTTACCTCTTTGTCATATCTATTCCTCCACTGCCTGGTCTTGCCATGTCTTGTCTTCCCATGACTTGCCTTCCCTTGCTTGGTCATGATCATGATTTTTATTGCCTTGCATTTCTTTGTCCTTTCATGCCTTCACTTCTTTTCCATGCCTTACCTTTGGCATTCATTGCCATATCTTGACTGTTCTTGCATTTTTGTCATGTGTATGACTTGCATTTCCTTGTCTTGACTTGCCAAGCACATTCCTTTCTTTCATTGCCATGCCTTCTTGCCTTCTTTTTCTTTTGATGCCCATTCCTTGACTTCTGTTTCCAAGACATGCCTTGCATTGACTTAATGTGTCTTGTGTAAGACTATCCTGGTTTGTTGTTGTTGTTTGTTTGTTTTTGTTTGTGCATGGGTGTGTTTTGCCTTCTCTTTCATTGTCTTGCCATGCCATGTTCATGACTTCCACTACTTTCTTTCTTTGCCTTGCCTTGCCTAACCTTGTTTGGCCAAGTTTTGTGAATGCATGCAATGCTTTTGCCTTTACTTTTCTTGCCTTCCTATTTACATTGTTATTATTTCCTTGCAAAAAGCATTTATTTATTTCACTAGCTTTTTCATGTTGTGAGCATTGTCTTTCCTTTCACTATCTTACCATGTGCATGCCTTTCCTTTTCTTCCATTACTTTTCCTTCCCTTTCATTTTCTGTCCTTTCATTTCCTACCATTTCATTTCATTTCATTCCTGTTCTGTTTCTTCCTTTTCCTTCCCTTCCTCTCCCTTCCCCTCCCTTCCCTCTCCTTGTCTTACCTTATTTTGTTCTTGCATTGCATGACATTGTTTTCTCTAACCATGCTTAGCAATCCATGTCCTTGCTTTGCTTTGTCGTGTCTTCTCCCTCTTCATTATGTCTATCCCTGTGTTGTCTTGCCTTCCCTTGCCTTTCCTTACCTTCCCATGTGAATCCATTGCCATATTTTGCCTTGACTTGTGTTTCTTTGTAATTTAATATATTGTCTTTCCTGTACTTTCCAAGCCATGCATATACCTTCCCTTGCGTTGTTGTATGCATTCCTTCCATTCTAACCCTTTGGATGCCCATTCCTTGACTTTTGTTTCCATGTTATGCCTCGCAGTGATGTATGTTGTTTTTTGCCAAATTGTTCTTGCATGTTCATTCTTTGTATTGCATTTCTTTCCCTTGCCTTGTGCATGACTTGCACTCAATTTCCTTTCTTTGCCTTGCTTTGCTTTTCCTGGTTTTGCCTTCCTTGCCGTCACATGCAATGCCATTACGTGTTCTAGCTGTGCCTTCGTATTCACATTTCTTGGGTTACACTTCCTTGCAAAATGCATACTATTGTTTCCCTTATTTTGCTTTGCTATGAACAGGGCTGCCCTGACTTAGGGCTATCCTGTTGGCAGAGCTGCAGTGACTGACAGCTCTCCTGTAGGCAGGGCTGCCATGACTAAGGGCTCTTCTGTGGGCGGGGCTCATGACCCTGTGATTGACAGCCGGGAGCTCAGCAAGGCCGTGGGCCTGGCTTGGCGTCACGGGGCGGGGACTGAAGGGGACGGGTGGGGGGCGTGGCCTCCGCCATGTCTGTGCTGCAGGCACTGCGGGCCTTGCTCCTGGTCTATGCCGTGGGCGCTGCAGTCATCTTACGGCAGCTCCTGCGGCGCCTGCGCGGGGGCTTCCGGCCGCCAGGTGAGTCACTTGGGGTCCATGTGGGCCTGGGGGGAGCGGGGGGAGTTCGGTGTGAGGGACCTCGGCGACAGGGACTCCTGGGGTACCTTGGTTATGCAGGACCGGAAGTGGCAATTCCACCATCTTTTTTGTGGGCAATTGCATTACTGGGAACCGGAAGTGGTCTTGCGAGCGCCCGATGTAACCTGAGGGGATTCCCGTGTTCCATCAGCCGTTGAGACTTGGAAAAGGTTCCCAGGGGTCGCAACATTCCGGTATTCGTTCCCCCATGATGCCCTGCATCAACCGAAAGTCTTCGTTGTTTTTACCGGAAGTGTTCCGTCCGCCATATTTAGTGGAAGTGGCGTCGAAGCATGGCATGATGGGAAATGTAGTCCCCTCCTGAGATTCTTCTGAATAACTGTTTCATCCATAGTGGAACTGTCATTCGCAGATTCTTCAAATATGTGAGAAATTTACTTATCTTGGGTTAAATTATTTACATTTTTTGGAAAATCATTGGCAGGTTAGTGAAAAATGTGAAGAACTTTTTTTGCACTAAATAATTTAAATTTTTGAAAACATTGGCAGATTCGTCTAAAATGTGGGATGTATAAGTATTTTTCTTTTAAATAATTTAGAATTTTCGAAAATCATTGGCGCATTCAGGTAAAATGTAGGAAATGAAATTATTTTTTTATTAAATAATTTAAATTTTTGGAAAATCATTGCCAGATTATTGATGTGTCAAATAACTTTTTGCATTAAATAATTTGGATTTTGAACAATCTTTGGCAGATTTGTCTTAAATGTGGAAAGTAAAATTATTTTTCTATTAAATAATTTTGACTTTTGGACCATCACTGGCAAATGCTTGGTAAATGTGAGAATTTAAATTATTTTGTATTGAATAATTTAGATTTTTGGAAATCATTAGCATATGTGAGAAACTACTTATTGCATTTTTGTGTACTAATTACTTTTTAGCTTTTACAGTCATCGTTACATTCGTGAAAAATGTGAGAAAATAAACTTTTTAAATTGGATATTTCAATTTTTGAAAACTTATTGGCAGATTCGTGAAAATGCGATAAATAGAATTTGTTATCGATTTAAAAATGAAATTTCTGTTAAGTTTTCTGCAGATTCATGGAAAATGTGACAAAGTAATTGTTTTGCATTAAATAATGTAGAGGATTGGAAAGTCATTGGCAGATTCGTGAAAAATGAGCAATGGGGTCCCCAGAGTGACAGGGGAGTGCACTTTGATTGACAACCGGCAGGGCGTGGCTGCTCAGGAGGGCGTGGCTGCACAGTGATGAACGCCCCACTGATTGTTCCTCCACATTCTGCCCTGACCCACTTCCTGCCCTCACTTCCTGCCCCCCACTTTCCCACCCGCCCACAGTGCTGCCCTGGCAGCCCGACCGCGTAGCTCTGGTGACTGGAGGCACTGAAGGCATCGGCCTGGCCACAGCACAGCAACTGGCGGCCCTGGGCATGCGCGTGGTGATAGGTGAGCCAGGGCATGGCGGGCAGGGTTGCTGGGTGCTGGGTGCTGAGACCAGGTGGATGTGGGTTCAGGGCGGCCACCAGGGTCAAGTTTCTGGTCTGTTATTTTAGCGGGAAATGACAAGGCAAAGGCGCAGGAGGTCGTGTCCTGGATCCAAGCCGAGACCAAGAACAAGAGGGGTGAGCATGGTGCTGATTGCTTTTTTGAGTGCTCCCAGTTCTCGCTGTTCAGTGCTCAGTGCTCTGGGTTTTCGATACTCTGGGTGCTCAGTGTTCGGTGCACAGAATTCCGGGTGCTGAGTGCTCAGTGCTTGCTGGGTGCTGCATGCTGGGTACTCATGCTTGGTTCTGAGTGCTCAGTACTGGGTGCTCGGTACTTGGTTCTAGATGCTGGGTGATTGGTTCTCGGTGCACAGTGTTCCGGGTGCTGGGTGCTTGGTGCTGGGTAATGGGTGCTCAGTGCTTTGGTGGGTGCTCGGTTCTCGGTGCACAGTGCTCCAAGTACTGGGTGCTCGGTGCTGGATAATTGGTTCTCGATGCTGTTTGCTCCATGCTGGGAGCTCAGTGCTCGATGATCAATGCTCCGGTTGCCCCTCCTCGCTGCTGACATCGCCCCCGGCCCTGCCCACCCGCAGTGCACTTCCTGTTCTGTGACCTCGCCTCCCTGGCCTCCGTGCGGAAATTTGCCCGCGACTTCCTGTCCCTGGGGTTCCCACTACACGTGCTGGTGAACAATGGTGAGTGCCCGCTTGCGAGCAGTGACTTCATCGTCCTCCTCTTCTGCATATGCAGATGACACTCATGAATATATCGGCATAAACAAGCGGGTTAGCACAAAGGCATTGGCAGTACACATGCAAATGAGCCACGGATATGCAAATGAGTGGTGACCATGCTCTCATGCAAGCTATACTCTCCTTTTTGTTTGTATATGCAAATGGAGTCATGGGCCATGGGCATGCAAGTGCTTGATGAATATGCAAATGTGTGGTGGGTGCAACATCACTGAGGTCAGGACTCTACAATTCATTAAATGAGAGTGGTTATGCCATGTGTCACCTCCTACAAGGCACGTGCTGTTACATTTGCATATGCAAATGGCCTCCATGAATGGAGGGAATCATGCTCCATCAGGAAGCAATGATTGACGACTTCCTAACCACATAGGAGGTGCTTTCCATTCACCCCCTGTGTACAGATGTCCTTGTCCGAACCCCTGTGTCTCACTTCCTGTCCCCCACACATTATTTCCTGTACCATGTGCCTCACTCTGCAGCCCCACTTCCTTTACCTGCCCCACATTCCCCTCCCCCTAGCCTCACTTCCTGTCTCCCTTCTCAATCCCCTCCCCCAGAGTCTTACTTCCTGTCACCCGCACATCAATTCCTGTCCAGCATCCTCATTTCCAGTCTGTCCAGTCTCGCTTCCTGTTCCCCTCCCCTCACACCTGGCCTCACTTCCTGTCCCCCGCCCCTCCCTCCCGGCCTAACTTCCTACTGCAGCCCCTCACTTCCTTTCCTACAACATGACAGCCGGAGTCATGATGGTTCCGCCCAGCAAAACGGAGGACGGCTTTGAGCGCCACATGGGAGTGAACTTCCTGGGCCACTTCCTGCTAACGAGGCTGCTGCTGGGTGTGCTGCGGGCGTCAGGGTCGCCGGGTCAGAGGTCGCGTGTGGTGACCCTGGGGTCAGCCACGCACTATGTGGGGGAGCTGGACATTGACACCCTGCGGGCCAGGTGGGCCGGGCTGGGGTGGGGCTAATGGTTGGGGCCCAGGTAGCTATGGGCAAGCCATGTGACAGGAAGACAGGTGACAAGTAGGGAGTCCTAGTGGAAGTCAGGTGACAGCAAGTGGGTCCTGGAGGAAGTGAGGTGAGAGCAAGTGGGTCCTGGAGGAAGTTAGAGGAAAGGAACTGGGTACTAGAGGAAGTCAGAGGACAGGAACTGGGTACTGGAGGAAGTCAGAGGACAGGAACTGGGTCCTGCAGGGATTCAGGGGGCAGGAACTGGGTCCTAGAAGGATTCAGGGGACAGGAAGTGGGTCATGGAGGAAGTCAGAGGACAGGAACTAGGTCGTGGAGGAAGTCAGAGGACAGGAACTGGGTCCTGGCGGAAGTCAGCGGGCAGGAACTGGGTCGTGGAGGAAGTCACAGGACAGGAAGTGGGCTCTGGAGGGATTCACGGAATAGGAACTGGGTCCTGGAGGAAGTCAGAGGACAGGAACTAGGTACTGGAGGAAGTCAGAGGACAGGAAGTGGGTCCTGGAGGAAGTCACAGGACAGGAAGTGGGTCCTAGAGGGATTCAGGGGACAGGGACTGGGTCCTGGAGGAAGTCAGAGGACAGGAATTGGGCTCTGAAGGATGTCAGGGTAGAGGAAGTGCGTCATGGGGGAAGACAGAGGCAGGGCAGAACAGGGAGTGGGCCCCACAGGCATCCAGGACCCCGACACCCATGCTCACCATGATGCTCCCCTCAGACCCCCCCACTCCGCCTCCGCAGCTTATGCGGGCAGCAAGCTGGCGCTCGTGCTGTTCTCCAGGAGGCTGCAGCGGCTCCTGGTGGCGCGCGGTGACCCTGTGACCTCAAGCGTGGCCGACCCGGGCGTCGTGGACACAGCGCTGTACCGGCATGCGGGCTGGGGCATACGGGCTGCCAAGCGCCTGCTGGGATGGGCCCTGTTCAAGGTGAGAAGCACTGGGTGGGGAGCATTGGGCAGGGAACATCGAGAACAGAGTGAGGAGCCCTGACTGAAGGGCACTGAGAAGTGAGCAAGGAGCACTTGGTAAGGACAACTCAGTTTGGAGTACGGAGGAGCACTGCACAGGGAACACTGAGCACTAAGTGAAGGGCACTAGCATTGAGTGAGAGCACTTAGCACTGAGTGAGGAGCACTCAGTGAAGGGTACTGAGCACTGGGCAGGGAGCACTGAATGAGCAGTGAGTGTGGAGCATTGAGCACTGAGTCAGAGGCACTAAGTTTGGAGCAGTTAGGAGCACTGGGTAGGGAACACTGAACACTGAGGAAGAAGCACTGGGTGAGGATCACTGAGTTGGGACTATGGAGGAGCACTGTGCAGGGAATACTGAGCACTGAAGAAGAAGCACTGATAGGTGAGGAGCACTAAGGAGAACTGAGAATTGGGTGAGGAGCACAGGGTGAGGATCACTGAGTTGGGAGTACGGAGGAGCACTGTGCAGGGAAAACAGCACTGAGGAAGAAGCACTGATAGGTCAGGAGCACTGAGTGAGGAGGAGCCGAGAACTGGGTGAGGAGCACTGAGCGCACCACCCTCCGCCCCTTGCAGACCCCTGCTGAAGGTGCCTGGACCTCTGTCTATGCGGCTTCTGCCCCAGAGCTGGAGGGACGGGGTGGCCTGTACCTCACGGACGAGGCCCCAGCCGAGCCCCTTGCAAGCACGCAGGACCCAGAGCTGCAAGACCGGCTGTGGGCAGTGGCCGAGAGTGTGGTGGGTGTGGCCAGGGATGACTGAGGATGCCCAGGAACCCAGGGATACGCCCACTGCATCAAGGGATGCTGGGACCCGGGAAGACATCAGGGCGGCAGACCACGCCCACCTCACCAAGGCCCCGCCCAGGACAGAGGAGGACTCAGCGCCCAGCACCTAAGGGGGAAGCTTTAGCCATGCGATGACATCAGGGCAACAGACCCCCACCAGACAAGACAGAGACGGTCCCTCCCAATGACATATGGACTGAGATCTAAACACCCAAATGGGATGACTCAGTCATGGATCTCAGAGATGGGGGTGGGGCTCTGGCAGCATTTCTGGTGAATCAAAATTGGCGGCCCTGGAATATCAAAGATGGCTGCCTGGGGTATCTAAGATGGTCACCTTGGTCCCCTATATCTGAGAGGGATGAGTCGTCTCTGACTGACAGGGGGTAAGGGCAGAGGAGCCTGGGGGCAGAGGGCAGGGTCAGGGTGGGTTCAGGGGTGAGGTCAGGGGAAGGTGGCAGAGGGCAGGGGTAGAGCAGGGGCAGGGATGGGGTCAAGATTCTGAAGTAGGGGCCCATGTGAGTGACATCAGGACTTGGATCAGGGGGCGGTCCGGTGTCCTCATGGTCAGAGGCAGAGGGTGGGGGCCAAAAGCAGGACCCAGTGATGTCAGGGCATGCCCTGGGGCAGGGCTAGTGCATAGGAGCCTGGGGCCAGGGTTGGGGTAGGGAGTAAGCCTTAGTGAATGGCTTTAAGTGTGGGGTAATGTGTGATATTCACTTTGTCTCCTTCTGTGGCACTGACCACGCCCATTGAGGGGTGGACCAGGGGAGGAAGTGACCTGGGTTACTAGGTCTGTGGAGGCGAGAGAACTCTCTCTTGCAAGCCACATGGGGACAGGAGGACTTCCGGAGGAATTCTTGGAAGCAGGAACTTGCTGGTGTTCACCTATGTTGTGAGTTATTTCTCCCTGAATAAACATCTGTTCAGCCTAATTGTTTATCCAGATCCTTATTAAACTGCAATAGGATAATATCTCAGTGGGCAGGGCTAGGGCATCACACGCCCACTGAGGTCACCTGCCTGGCCATGCCTTGCCTGCTGAAATCACCCGCCATGCCCTGCCCCACCTGTTGACATCTCCTGCCTCCATCATCCACCATCCACAGTTGCCTGATGGCAACACAGGCAAGGAGCAGCAACCTTACCCAGTGAGTGCTGAGTCCCATGGCCCCAGCCAGCTACAGGTCGTCCTGTCCCTGAGTGCGGAGTCGAGGGCGTCAAAGACTCCCAGCTCACAGGCCTAGAAGAGCAGCTGGGGGTGTGGGGCACTCTGCACTGGTGACACCCTGGGTGATGCTATAGTTACCCAGGGGTCACACTGGGGTTGCCTGGGGTCTCACAGCAGTCACTCAAGATTCATACTGGGGTCACACAGGGATCTCCCATGGTCATGCTGGGGTCAAGCACCTGTCATGCAGGAGTAGAGTCACACGGGGGTCATATGGGGGTCTCCATGGGGCACAAAGGGGCCACAATCAGGTCAGGCTGGCATCAAGCTGGGGTCACCCTACCTACCTACAACACCATGAAGCCTTGCTCCACCTCAATGAGCAGCCAGAAGTCCCTGTCCAGCGTCCCCTCCTCGTCCCCCTGGGAGGTGGTTATGTTGTCCCCATGTCTGCCCCGACCCCAGGACCCAGTGCTTTAAATTGAGTTCAGGTGGGGTGGGACAGGGAGGGGTGGAGATGGGAGGGCCAAGGCAAATCATCTTGGAACCTCTCCGGCCTCAGCTTGGCTGATCCAGATCAGGACTGGGCAAGAGCTCCTGAGAAAGTGGAGAGGCTTGTGGGGGACAGGGGAGGGGTATGCACAGCCCCAGGGATCCACACCCTCATTGGGTACTCTCCCCCAGGGTCCCAACCCTCCCTGCCGCCACTTCCAGTTCCAGGGTGAACAGTGACCCCCACTTCCTGTTAAAAGGGGAACTATGACAACCATTTCCTGTTAATGGGAGGTGCTGTGACCCACTCTTCCTGTCCCAGGGTGACCCACACTTCCTATGAATGGGGTGACCTGTGACCTTGCATCCAGATCCTAGGCAACTTTGTCAAGTCATTTGCACACTTCCTGTGCCCTGTGTGAGTAGTGACCACTCTTTTACTCACTCTCTATTCCCTGTGTCACCTGTGACCTCTCTTTGACCACTTCCTGTTCCCTGTGTGACCTGTGACCTCTCTCTTACACACTTCCTGTTCTCTGTGAGACCTGTGACACCTAGTTTACCCATTTCCTGTTCACTGGTATGGTGTACATCTCTCACTTCCTATTTCCGACATGACCAGACAGCACTAATTTACCAACTTCCGTTCCCAATGTGAACTCTGACCTTTCCTTTATTCACTTCCTTGTGTGACCTCTGACCATTCCTTTCCCCACATCCTGTTCCCTGTGTGAACAGTGACCTCTGACTTTACCCAATTCCAGTTCTCTCTATGATATCTGACCACTACTATAGCCACTTCCTGTTCCCTGTGTGACTTCTGATATCTCCTTACTCACTTCCTGTTAATTATGTGGCCTGAGACCTCTCCATTACCAACTTCCTGTTCCCCGTATGACCTGTGACGTCACATTTACTCACTTCCAGTTCCCTTTGTGACCTATGACTTCTCTATTGCCCACTTCCGGTTCACCGTGTGACCCGGGATCTCTCCTTTACCCATTTCTTTTTTCCTTCGTGACATTGCCGTCTCTATTACCCACTTCCTATTCTTTATGTTTACTGTGACCTGTCCTATACACACTTCCTGTCTTCTGTGTGATCTGTGACTTCATTTACACACTTCCTGTTCTCTGTGTGACCTGTAACCTCCCTCTTTACCACTTCCTGTTCCTTGTGTGACCTTTGCCCTCTACAAACTTCCTGATTCCTGTATGACCTTCCGATTGGCAGGGATGATGTCTATTTCCCACTTTCAGTTCATTCTGAGGGTGACCTGTGACCTCTCCTTTACCCACTTCTTGTTCCCTGTGTGACATGTGACTTCTCTTTTGCCCACTTTTGCTTCCCATGGTGAATTCTGACTTCTCCATTACCAAGTTCCCATTCCTTGTGTGACTTGTGACCTATTCTTACTCACTGCCTATACTCTGTGTGACCTGTGACATCTCTCTCACACACTTAGTATTCCCTCTGTAACCTGTTTCATTTACAAATCTTCTGTTCCCTGTGTGACCTGTCACTTTTCCTTTATACACTTATGGTAGACAGGGATGATGTACGTCTCTTCCTGTTCTCTGTGTGACCTGTGACCTCTACTTTACCCACTTCCTTTTGTCTGGGTGAACTGTGACCTTACTTTTTCCTAATTTCCATTCCTGTGTGACCTGTCCTGTGACCCCCTCTCCTACTCGCTTTCTTTTCCATATCTTAGCTGTGGGTATTCTATTACCTACTACTTTTTCCCACCTTTACACACTTCCTGTTCCCTGTGTGACCTGTGACTTCTCTTTTACCCACTTTCGTTTCCCATGGTGAATTCTGACCTCTCCATTACCAAATTACTGTTCACTATCTGACCTGAGGCCCTCAAAGAAGATGTGAGAAAATCCCTTAAAGAAATGGAGGAAAAACAAACAAAAAGTGGAAGAAATGAACAAATTAATTAAGGAAAGCAAAGAACGTACAGAAAACCAAGAAAAAAAACAATTAAGCAGGAGAAGGAAACAGTTCAAGACTTGAAAACTGAAATAGAGAAAATGAAGGCAACACAAACTGAAGGAATGCTGGAAATTGAAAAGCTGGGCAAAAAATCGGCAACTACGGACACAAGCATAACCAATAGAATTCAAGAGATGGAAGAGAGAATCTCAGGCGCAGAAGATAAACTAGAAGAAATAGATTCATCGACCAAAGAAAATCATGAATCCGACAAATCCTTAACACAAAACATCCAGGAAATGTGGGACACCATGAACAGGCCAAACCTAAGAATAATAGGCATAGAGGAAGGTGAGGAAGGCCAGCTCAAAGGTGTCGAAAATATATTCAACAAAATCATTGAGGAAAACTTTCCAAATCTGAAGAAGAACAAGCCCATAAAAGTACAAGAAGCATACCGAACCCCAAATAGGCTGGACCAAAGAAAAAAGACCCCTGGACATATAATAATCAAAACACCTAGATGACCCTCAATTGAAGAATGGTTAATGAAGAAGTGGCACATCTACACAATGGAATACTACTCTGAAGAAAAAAATAATGGTATCTTGATATTCGTGGGCAAGTGCATGGCACTTGAAGAAACCATCCTGAATGAGGTAACCCAGTCACAAAAAGAGGTACACAGTATGTACTCACTGATATATGTATTTTAAACCTAGAGCAAGGGATCACCAGCCTATAATTCACATCACCAGAGGAACTAGGATACAAGGTGTATTCTAATAGATTCATATAATGTCCTTCACAGAACTGGGAAGGGACAAGTCCCCCAGAGCTCAGGTGAAGTGGGGGGGGCATCAAATGGAGAGAGAATTAGGAGAAAATGAGGGGGAGGAAAGGAAGACATGTGCGACCAGGAAGATTGACCCTGGTTAGGAATAGAAGATTGGAAGAGAGAGTCAGAGAGAACATAAAAGAGGGAGCAAATATTGGTTTGAAGATAAAATTGAACATAAAGAAAGGTCTAGAGAACTACAAGACTGCTCCCAACTACCAATTTGAGCTTCCGTGGAAAGGCTATCATAAATGCCCTTCCTGCAGAGTGAGATCAACAACTAACTTCTCCATGGATCCCTCAACTAATGCCTGTTGGAAACAGGATCAAACACCTATACATAAACACTGAGTCGAACTAGAACCCAGATGCAGATGGAGAGGACAAGACCATGCGGCAGAAACACATACAGACAGTTTACCTGAACAAGGAGGAGCTAACAGCCACTAGACTGAGAGCTGAGATGCCAGCATGGGAATGACTCAGGCCCCCCTGAATATGGGTCTCAGCCAGAAGGACTGAGTAGTCTAAGAGACCTCAGACAGTGGAGCCAGGATGTATCCCTGGTGCACAAAAGGACTTTGTGAACATATCCCCCATGGAGGGATAACTGCCTTAATCTAGAGACAGGAGAGAAGCCCTAGTCCCTACTTCACAGGACCTGTCAGATCTACATGACCCCAACTGGATGGCATTCCCCTACATATGGAATTGTGGTGGGGGGGATGGTAGGGGACGGTGTTTAGAGTGCATGTGAGAGGGCAGAGAGTGTAAAAGGGAGGGATGGAGGGAGAGAGGGATGGAGGGAGGAAGGAATGGCAGGAAGGAGAGGGAACTGGTATCGTCATGTAAAATAATAAATTAAATTAAAAAAAATGCTTCGACTCCAAAATTTAAGTTGAAGGACAAGTTACTGGGGAAAAGGATTTCTATTTTTGTTTCCACAAAAAATGAAAAGATGTGGATTCC